TCCCTCTCCTCAGAGCCCGGGAGGAAGCCTCACCCATCACTTCATGTGTAGCCTCACTCGTGTGCCCTCCATGACTTGCCACAGGATGGCCGCGCACGAGCGTGTCAGAGCTGAGCGGGGTCTGATATTGAGTTCACTGGCTGTTTATATAGGACTTAGACACAGTGCTCCTGGCAGCGAATTGCTCAGTGAGTGGCCAAAACACTCACATTTTCCAGGGCCTCACTAGCCCTGCCAAGAGGAGGTGGGTGTGTCGGAGGGGGGAGGGAGCTGATCATCTCGCAGAATTGCAGATGTTACTAAAGTTGATGTGTCCTGTGACATGTGGAAGGTCAGGACCATGATCCTGATGGGCCTTCTGGCTGCAGAGTCTGAGACCTTCTCTGGCCCCAGAGACTTCTCCACCTGAGACTTCCTGACTCCGCCGGGTGTGGGGTGACTCCCAGTGTTGTGTGAAAGCCTGCGAGGAGCCTGGCGGCCCTGGAGAGGGGAGACAGATGTGCAGGATGGATGGGGGACGAGGCTGCAGACAGCGCTTGGAGAGGGTCTCTGCGTATCGGGAGCAGCAACCTGCCCCACAGAGCTGCACCCCTGCCCCAAGGGTGCCCCGAGCAGCAGCAGCGACCCGACCGGCCTGGGCTCCCGTGTGCCCGCGGGGGAGGCTTGCAAAGAGACAGCCACAGCCATCGCACTCAGGCGGGTGTGTGGGGCAGGCCCTGCTCTGGGGCTGGCGCGTCCCCAGCCAGGTCAGTCCGGTCGCTGACCCACCGACACCTGATCTCTAGATTCCCAGGGACGGAGCCGGATGCAGGAGGTGGAAGAAGCCGCGTGGACCCTGAGAGTCTCCCTGCAGCCCACTAACACCTCGGCTGCGCCCGCCAGGGAATCGGACAGTAAGTCTCAGCCTGGGGCCCGGCAGCAGGTCGCTCCCTCCCCAGGCCTGGAAGCCGAGCATGCGCCTGGCTCTGCAGGCGGTGGAAGAAGCCGCGCGGAACCTGAGAGTCTCCCTGCAGCCGACCAACACCTCGGCCGCGCCCACCAGGGAATCGGACAGTAAGTCTCAGCCGGGGGCCCGGCAGCAGGGTCGCTCCCTCCCCAGGCCTGGAAGCCGAGCACGCGCCTGGCTGGAGGCTGGTGGGTGCATCCACGTGCCCCCTGCCCCTTGGCCTTCTCCCTGTCCAATCAGCTGCTGCTCTGCTCACTCCTCTGCCCATGGGGGCTCTGTCCCCAGGTGTGAACGGCTGCACCAGGCTCCCTCCTATCCCCTCCTGGCAGTGGCTGGCTGCTGCATCTCTCCCTGCTCCTGACCAGGAGGCCTAGTGGTCAGCATCTTCTGTCCTTTCACTAGTGTGTCCCTCATGCCAGAGTCCCCCTGGCCCTGCAGTGTCAGGGTTGCACGCACAAGGCAGAGAGATGCAGCTCATGAGCCAGACAGGGCTGAATTCAGACCTTGGTGGAAGCTGGGCACCAGTAGAGCTGCTCTCCTGGGCTTCATTTTCCACCCCCGCATCCTCCTCCCTTTCCCCCCCCCCTACCTCTGAGCCCTTCCTAGGCAGCTACAACAGTTTGGGGCCTGGCCCTGTCACAGTGATGGAGGCAGAGCGCCCCCTTGTGGGCAGAGCCACAACTGCCTCTCTCTCTGTCTGGCAGGGGCTGTGCACACACCCGGTCTGTGGCCTAGAGTCACTCAGGTGCAGGGGACGTGCTCACAGGTCACAGGGCGGCAGAGTCAGGAAGACGTGGCCGGGGAGACGGGCCTGGAGCTCAGGGAGCTGATTCAGTTCCCAGACCTGCTGCAAACATCCTGTGGACTTTGGGCATGTCTCTCTGAACCTGAGCTTCCCTTTGGGAAAACAAACCTCTACTCCTCCCACGTGGCATCTATCTCCACTGGGAGCTGCTGAGAGCAGGCCCCGTCTCCTCCTGCCTCCCAGATCCTGGCCCAACGATCGCTCTGACTGGCGCTGACGTTGCTCTTACTTGATCCCAGCGCTGCAGCTCCTGGGCGAAGTGCAGGCAGGAGTCCGGATGCTGAGAGCCGAGCTGGGAAATGTCAGTGCAGAGAACAGAGAACTGCAGACCCGTCTGGACACGGTCGCTGGGGCGCGAGGAGCCGGGTCGGATTCCTGCAGTGAGTCAGAGCCCCTGGTCCTGCCGGTGCGGGGGGGAAACGAGACTCAGGCTCCCAGGCTGCCAGTGCAGGGCTTGTCGCCAGCAACGAGTTCCGTGCATGAGACACACCTGTGGCTGCGCATGCACCACCCCGCAGGGATCCGTGTGGAGTTCAGTGGCACCCTCGGCCTCGATAGCCAATGGGAGCCCTCAGCTACCAGCTCTGGCTCGATCCAGGCCAGTCTGGGCACAGGCAGAGACAAACCAGCCTTTCAGTGCCAGGGGGTGATGCTCAGAACTGTCCCTGGGCCAGCGCCCCCTGCAGGATGTGGGGGAACCTGACGGGAAATAAGCCTGAGACTGACCACTGACCACTGACCACTAATGGTCACTGAGCACTGTTGGTGCAGAACCAGGGGCTGGTCCACCTTGTGCTGCTACATCCTCTGCCCCCCACCGCCTGAGTTCCCCCACCAGCTCAGCTGAGCAGTGAGTCTTCCTGTTCCTATTACAGCTGTGCTGCTCTGCACTGGGACCAGCACCTGCTCCAGCCCAGACACAGCTGCATTTCCGTGCTGGGGGAGGGACCCTGGGCTGGCTGCTCTCTGCAGCATCTCCGGGATCCTTCCTACGGCCACCAACGTGATTGGCTGAGCAGCTGGAGAGTCAGGCTCAGATGCTCCCTGGGCAGCCGAGGGGCAGGGGAAATCATAGAATCACAGAAGACTGGGACTGGAAGGGACCTCGAGAGGCCAAATACTGTGTAGACCATCCCTGATAGACATTTATCTAACCTGATCTTCAATATCTGCAAAGATGGAGATTCCACAACCTCCCTGGGCAACTTATTCAAGTGTTTCACCACCCTGACAGGAACTTTTCCTAATGTCCAACCTAAACCTCCCTTGCTGCAGTTTAAGCCCATTGCTGCTTGTTCTATCCTCTGAGGCCAAGATGAACAAGTTTTCTCCCTCCTCATTGTGACACTCTATTAGATACCTGAAAACTACTAAATGCAGCAGGAGAAGCCCTGAGCTCCCTGCACGTGTCCCTGTGACTAGCCTGGGTATCTGACCCCAGTCTCTGCTCCCAGGGGTCCTGTGGACAAAACTCTCCGCAGGCTGGAGGTGTCACGGTGGGAACCTCTATTACTTCTCCCAAGAAGAGAAGTCGTGGTTGGAGGCCCAGCAGTTCTGTGTGTCTCAGGGCTCATACCTGACGTCCGTCTTGTCCCCGGAGGAGCAGGTGAGTGCAGCACCCTCCCGGGGCTCAGACCGTGGGCCAGGGCCTGGTTTTATGGCAGCAGCAGTTGACGGGTAACAGCTGAGGCAGCAAACCTGCGACGTGCCTGGTAACAAACTCTGGGGGAGGCTGCCCAGCCCTGGAACCTGACACAGGGATCCACCCATCAGCTGAGAAGCAGAGATGGGCAGGGGCACGGTGCCAGGCCCAGGACACCCCAGAGTCTAGGGTGTAGGAGGGAGGGGCGTGTAGGGTCTGGCTCATTTCTCTAGGACACATCGCCGTGGTTACTCTGTGCAGATGCACAGACTCAGACCCAGAGACGCTCCAGGACTCCCACAGGGTCTCCAGCAAGTCGCTGTCAGCGCTTGGGGTTAGACACCATGTCTACCGCTGCCCAGTGCCCTGCTCACATCCCCAGACGCCCGCTCCCCTCCCCAGCCTGCTCAGCCCAGGTAGCTGCAGCTGCACCTGCAACCTGCCTTGGGTGGCCTGACCATGCTGGGATCTGTGTTGGGCAGAAATTCCTCTCCAAGGGGACGGACGGACAGTCCTACTGGATTGGACTCACTGACCAGGGCACTGAAGGTCGCTGGCGCTGGGTGGACGGCTCAGAATACAGAGCAGACGCCAGCAGCGGGTGAGTAACAGGGAGACTGATCCTCTGTTAATGTCTCGACACAGGCTCTTTCAGCAGCGTCTGTTCAGCCCCTTGGGTCCGTGCAGCCCCCAGCACAGGGGGCCCAATCCTGAGGGAAGCTCCCGGGTGCTTCCCCAACAGAAATTCAGCCTCCCAGGAATTCCTCGCATGCCCCTTTGCTCAGAGCGGTGCCCAGACACGCAGCGTGTGCTCCGTGCCAGTGAGAGCGAGACCAGAGCCTCCCTGGGAACTCGCCACTGACCTGAATGAACCACCTGGAACCACGCAGCCAGCTTGGAATGGAGCGAACAGCCGGGTCCAGCGCTCTCCCCAGGCCAAATGGCACTCTAGCTTCCCGGCTGTGGGGGGCAGGCTGCAGGGGCCGGGGCGTGGCCAGAGCCAGCTGGAGCTGGTGCACTGAGCACAGGGGCTGGGGCTGAGGCCCATGACCGGGGCATGGAGAAGCCAATGAGGGAACCCGCTGCCCTCTCTTTCAGTCCCTGCGCCCCCATCTTGGGCTGAGCCTGGGACGTGCTGAGCCGCGCGCTTGGTGCTGGGCCCTGAGATCTGAGCAGCTGCTGCTCCGTGTTCAGAACCACACGCTCGCCTGCAATTGCTCCCCCCTCAGAAGCCCTTCGCAACCCAGCCATGGATGCTGCAGAGAACGCTGGTGGGGGTAGGAAGGGGGGCACTTTGCTGAGTCATTTCCGGGTGTCTTAGTCCCCTGCTGACACCAGAGTCCGAGCTCGGCACGTGGCCGTGGTTCTCCTGAGACAGGAACACTCTGCTCTGCAGGTTCTGGGATTCCCATCAGCCTGACAACTGGCACCAGGGGATCGGCGGCAGAGAAGACTGTGTTGAGATCCGCACAGAGATGCAGACTTCGTGGAATGATGCCAACTGCTCTCTGCCTGCGCGGTGGATCTGTAAGCAGGCCCGTGGGCAGGCCGGGCTGTGACATGCAGGGCCAGTGTGAGAGTTTCACCCCCCTCCCCTTTGCTTTATGAAATTGACTTATGGGCACAAACATGCATAAGCCGAAGATGCTTTGGACAAATCCCTGATGTCACCCATCAGCCTTAACGCCACAAGCTGCTGGTGCCATGTGTCTGATTGGCGTGTGCACCATTCTTGGGGGTAAAGTGAGAGATATGGAGTAGGGGAAGGGTTAGGGTTTAACTATGCGAATGAAAGCCATGTGGGCATTTCCCTCCATGTCTGGGTGATCACCTGTAAACAGCCTCTTTTGTCCTGTGAGTCTGAGCAGTGGTTGGTTTTAGGAAGTCACATGACCACCCCAAGTGGTAGGCTGTGTCTACACTGGGCCACTTATTCCGGAAAATCAGCCGCTTTTCCGGAATAAGCTGCGAGCTGTCTACACTGGCCCTTGAATTTCCGGAAAAGCAACGATGCTCTACTGTACAAAATCAGCCGCTATTCCGGAAAAACTATTCTGCTCCCGCT